GTTATTTACATAAATGGTTGTAATTTTAAGTTAAATATGCTTTTAGTTGTTCGTTTTAATTTTTGTCAATTATTTATTTATTTTTTTTTTCATTTTTCACAATGCCTAATAAAATACAATAACGCTATTTAGCCTTATTGGGGTTGTAATCCCAATTTAGGTAGCCTAATGTGACATTAATTGATAGGTAGAATTAAATGACTCATTTAATTTTATCTTTTTATTCAACCAATTAGGTAGTGCCACCTACACTAGGGTGTATAACCCTTGCAACCTTAGTGAGACTACATAACATTATTCTTAGTATGGAAATCACTTTTATTTTAGTATGTACAAATTATCAGCTGAACTTGTCTTTAAAAGTTGATGAATAAATGGGTTTTGATGTGTGGAAATTGTTCTGTTACTGATCCAATTAGTTTATTGCTAAATTGGGTGTCTATTTTTGGAAATAGATGTTTGTTTTATTAATATTAGGTATGCAAATTAGAATGGACTTGTTTTGAAAAAATTAAAGGAAAGACTCGGAAGACTCAAAAAATATAGACAAGCTAGAACTTGGAAACGACATAGAAAATATGTAAAATTATTCCCACCATAAAAAATGAAGGAAGACTTGGAAGACTTTGAATAGTAGTATAATTGATATTGGGAAGATGTTCCCACTTCTCTTCAGTTATTGTTGGTGTTTACTTATTTATATGATTAGCTTTAACAATTGCTCATATCAAAATGGAGAGAGTTATAATCCTAACCATATCATTCTTCCTTTTGATATTCTCTTGTTTTGTGTTCCCAATTTCATCTGTTGACACCCTTAAACCTGGGGATCGTCTAAATTCATCTACTCCCATAGTTTCTGCTGACGGATTTTTCCTTTTAGGATTCCTTAATCCCGACGGATTTTCGGGTTTAGGATTCTTTAATCCCAACGATTCCAGTCTTAGTTATTTAGGAATATGGTGTACAGTTGGGAATGATATAGGTTGGAACTATATAGTGTGGCTTGGTAACAGAGAAAACGGTATTAGTGATGATTCTGGTATTCTCACAATAAATAGTGCTGGAGAACTTATTATAACAAGCAACACATCAGATTCTACTGTGCTTTATGCAGGCGGAAATGGCAAAAATATAACAGCCACACTATTGAATTCGGGGAATTTCGTAGTGAGAGAGATGAATATAAACGGTTCTTCGGATAGGGTGTTGTGGGAAAGCTTTGATTACCCAACTGATACTCTTATTCCGGGGATGAAATTAGGTGTTAATCATAGGACTGGAAGAAATTGGCATCTTACATCACGGTTTGGCGAAGACAATCCCGCTTCAGGAGCTTTTACGTTGGAATGGGATCCAGGCACACGTATGTTGATCGTACGACGACGAGGGCAGATTTATTGGACCAGTGGCAACTTGAAAGACTATACTAATCAGAGCTTGAGATGGAATGTCAAGGAATTTGAGAATATACCTGAACCTGATTTTGAAGATTTCAATTACAATTTCACCAATGTTTCAAATGGTGTGGAGGATTACTTCAGCTACTCCCTTATACCATACCCCATAGGGAAAAATATTTCAGGATGGCGGCTGAGTTATAACGGGGATATATTTGACATATATAGGAAAATGATAGCAAAAGTGAGTCTTTGTTATGGTTACAACATTTACAAAGGCTGTAAATCATGGGAGCAGCCCATTTGCAGAAATCATAACGAGGCATTTGTTTTGAAATCAGGGCATTTCGCTTATGGAAATGGGAGCAAGCCTATTCCAGAATCGGTTGATAATTATAATCTTACTGAGAGTGACTGCAGAGAGAAGTGCTGGAAGGACTGTGAATGTGTAGGCTTTGCCAATAGTAGTCAACCTGCCAGTAATGAAATTGGATGTACATTCTGGAAAGGGAAAATTTTGACTTTTGTACAGAGTTATGATGGTTCTGAACCTAAACAATTCGTTCTTGTTCTAAAGGCGACCAAAAGTAAGTTCATATCACCAAATTAAGAATTTTTCAACATATGCACACATCCTTACTTCAATTCCTCTGTTTGGTGTTCATAATCCATTTGTTTTATTTAATAAACTTATTTTCATTCATTTTTGATTTTTTACAAAAGAAATTTCTTCGGACTAAATACGTTGAAGATATATAAAGCACCATGCAGTTCAATAAATGTACTTCCCTTTTCTTCAATTCTTGATGTCCCATAGAAACATTTCTCTTTCAGCAATGTGTTTACTAACATCAAATGATAAATGACAGGATGGAAGTCATGGGAAATCATTACTTTGGTTATTTCAGTAGTTGCTCTTTTGTTGGGCTGTG